CTGATCACCTGGCCTGGCCTGTCTCTGCTGCCCCCCGCAGTGCTCAACGAGGAGCAGACACAGTTTCTCAAAGAGCTGGTGGGGCCTGTGTCCCGTTTCTTCGAGGTAAGAAATAACCTGGGGAATCGCGGGCTTGGTCCCTATGGGGTGGGCGCGGTGTTCGGACCTTTAAAGGAGCCTGCATGGGGGATCCTGTGCCCTCCCAGGAGGTGAACGATCCTGCCAAGAACGACATGCTGGAGAAGGTGGAGGAGACCACCATTCAGGGCCTCAAGGAGCTGGGCGCCTTTGGTCTGCAAGTGCCCAGTGAACTGGGTGGTGTGGGCCTCTGCAACACCCAGGTGAGAGCCCCACAGCTACTTCCCAGCATCCAGGTCTATGGTCTACTCAGCTTGGCAGGTTCAGCTCCTTCATCCCTGGGGCTAGTCTGCCAAGTCCCTGCCCTGGGACCCGCGGGATATGGACTCTCAAGATATGTACACACCCCCTCCAGACACATCACTGAACTGCATACAGTCCCCTAGGGCCATGGACCCCCACCCAGGTTCCCAAATCCTAATGAATCTCATGTAAGTGGGGACTACCTGACAGGGTAGGAAGCCATCACGACCTGGACTGGACACCCGCCAGCCAGTGTCCTTCCCGGCCATGGTCCCACTTCCCTTCTCTGGGAATGCCCAGGTCGGGCTCTGCCCACCAGTTACAGCCTGCTTCCCCTCCAGTACGCCAGATTGGTGGAGATCGTGGGCATGCATGACCTTGGTGTGGGCATCACCCTGGGGGCCCACCAGAGCATTGGTTTCAAAGGCATCCTGCTCTTTGGCACGAAGGCCCAGAAAGAAAAATACCTCCCCAAACTGGCATCAGGTAAGGCAGGCCTTGTAGCCCCAGGGATTAGGAGTGTCTTGGGCTAATTAGGGATTTGGGGAAGGCATGACAGGGTGCTGGTAGGGGAATGGGAAGAAACTGAATATACCCCGAGGTGTTAAGGGGTAACTTGGGGGGGCACTGAGGGACCTTCAGTGCCCATCATACCCGCGATGGGCCCGGTGTAAAGGAGCTTTCTGCCCAACAGGAGAGACTATAGCAGCTTTCTGTCTAACTGAGCCCTCCAGTGGCTCAGATGCCGCCTCCATCCGAACCTCAGCTGTGCCCAGTCCCTGTGGAAAGTATTTTACCCTCAATGGAAGCAAGATTTGGATCAGGCAATCTTCCTCCCATTTCTCCCCTCCTCTGCCCATTCCAGGCCACACTGCTCTGTCCTCCACGCCCTGACTGCCCTCTCTCTCCACAGTAATGGGGGCTTGGCAGAAATCTTCACCGTCTTTGCCAAGACACCAGTTACCGATGCAGCCACGGGAGCTGTGAAGGAGAAGATCACAGCTTTTGTGGTGGAGAGGAGCTTTGGAGGTGTTACCCAGTGAGTGGGTTTGGGGAGGAAGAAAAAGGCTGAGCCAGGGAGGGCAGTACCGAGCTCGGGGCAAATGGCTGTTACAGGGCACCTGGGAATGTGTGCAGAAGCCAACACAGCTGGAGAGAGTGTTCCTTTGGGACTAAAACGTATGAAACTGATCTAAAGCTT